CAGACTATTAATTTAATGAAAAATAAGCAACAGGGGAAACAGATAAATCACTGGCAGAGTGAAGAGCAGACCCAGTGAATTCCTACCAATTTCCCTTTCTTTTTCTTGCAGAGAGCAAAATGACAAAGTATTTATGTCCCACTGTCTTTGACATCTCTGTTTATCTCATTAGAGGAAAAATGCTTCTGAGCCTACAAGGACATGTTTTATTTCAAGTTTCAAGAATTCAATCCCAAATGACTTATATAAGTTAACGTTAGGCATTCAGGATTACAATTTTCACATTTCTGGAATGCTTTCATTTTAAATTTCATAAAAACAAATTACTACAGCATTAATTTTCCTTTTGTTTATTGCAAGCAATATGTACTATTCAAGCTTGAATTACATAAACAAGGTACATATATTTGAAAAGTAATGTTAATTATTTTAATGAAAAATTTTAATTAAAAATTTTTTTAAAGTCTAATAATAAGGCTAGCAAGAACAGTTGGAACTTTTTATATAATTTCAATGACAAATTCCTATTCAAAATTAATTTCTCCTCTACTCACTAGTCTCATCAATGTTTATTTATTAAAGTCAGTGTTTTCAGTAACTGAAAGAAGCATTATATAATGTTTCCATCTGAGTCTCTTTCCATCTGTCCTCTTATTTTACTGTTTATCCAGTAGTTTAAACATAAAATTGCACTTGGAACAGAATGACTGAGCATCCCCCAAAGTGCGCCATCTTTTTGCACTGTATTTTCTGTCATTTGCCTACCAATGCTAGCAGCCTTCCCAAAGTGCTCATCCAATAACCTACTAAGAGTAGTTACTTTATAATAACTCCACTACCTGACATAAATTCTATGAAGGCAGGGATTTTTATCCATTTTGTTCACTCCTGTATCTTTTATGCCTAGAACAATTCCTGACACTCAATATATATTTGTTGAGTAACTAAATTGAGTGAATGAATGAAAAAGTATTATCGGTCCTGTTTTACAGATTAACAAAGACTCAGGGAATTCCATAAAGGGCAGGCCATAATTTAATGTTAAGCCGACCTCCAGGATAGGATGTGGAATAAAGAACCTAACTTCAGGACACCTCCTCTTATATCCCTAGACTCCTTATACAATCCATACCACCTTCCTATTAATACTTGTCTTCCTTTCTGTAGCTTCCCCTCTAATAAAATTGACTATACATTAGCTATACCCACAAGCCACGCCCACCAGCCAATCAGGGTGAGTATGCAAAGTAACCCAACCAAGATGGCGGTTAATTTGCATATCCAGGCTAGAGCGTAGACTGAAGACAGGGTAGAAAGAAGCCAAGCCTGCAGAATGGAGCGAAGCTGCAGAGAAGAGAGCAAGCGGGGTGGAGGGGAAGAAAGGGAAGCAGGTGGAGCAGTGGAGACTGCAGCAGGAAGCCCTATTGAGGAATCTTCCTGCAAAGGACCTCTAGTTTATATATAAAGGCTTCTTTCAAAACCCTGACAGCCCCAGAAGCACTAAGGGGCCTGCGGCTCCAAAGTCCATTCTCTCAAGTTCCTACCACTAGGCTCCCTCCACTTTTCTACCCTTCTATCCGCTGAGTAGAGGATAACTTCATTTGCATATTTGTCAGAGACAGTCCTTACTCTGACCAGCAAAGCTTCCTTAGCACCAAAAGTCAGCCTGGTAGAGTAGCATAGGGTTCTAGTCTTGGTTCTTTATGGGTTTATCAATAACTTCACCTCTATTCTCATTGAAGGTCCTGGGTGAAGCCCCAATCTAGACTTTCGAGAGTCACTCTGGGCTAGAAATGAATAGGAATTATAACAGAAGGCTAACAATCAGGATTTGATTACTTTTCCCAACTACTGTATTTACCCACTAAGATCAATGCTTTTCTGGCTCATGTGATAACTCTTAAGTGGATTAAGACTATAGAGTCTCCACATTTTCTTTCTAAACTAACCTCTCACTGTCCATGTTGACTATTTGTATCTCTTCTACCATACATCTCTCAAAAACACTTGCCTCCAGTATCAGGAAATGCAACCAATTCCAATTGTGAGAATGTTTTCCATAGTATCAACTCTGCATTTTCCTCTGCAATGTTCACTCACCTCCTGGCATTGCCCTCTGAGTCCAAATAAGGAAAGGCTGATCTCCTTTTATCTCAAGAACTCACTAGATATGCCAGGTGGTTCTTGAAGCCCTTTCCCACCACTCCCCACCCCCACTCTGCCATCTGAGTCTATTTTTTTGAATTCCTATTAACATTTCTAAATATTAGGACTTATAAACAAGGTGATTCAGAGAAGAAAATAAGAATGGAACTTGAGACCCTACTTACCAACTTTTTCATTGGATGTGACGTCAATTTCTAATTATTTATGACTCATTTAAAGAAGTTCACACCACACAGCCACTAACGTCAGATATCAAAACAAAGGTGATACTGTTTGAGAAAGGAAACCATCTGTTTGAGAAAGGAAAATGTCAGCAACATTTGCCTTTCTCAAATTGTTCACATAATTTTAAAGCTGCTCATTTTAGCCACTCACTTCACAGATGAACCTGAGATCCAGAAGACTTAGGTTACCTAAGGTAGCCTAAGGTAGGTTAGCAGCAATGCTGAAAGTCCTTGAGGCATTGTTGGCTATCTCCCAAACAGCAAATTATGATTCCATAATGTATTGATGTCTTGCCATTTTCTCCAAACTCCTCATGTCTTAATAATGTCAGCTCATTAATTTCCCAGAAAGCTAAATTTACATTGTTATTATTACAACAATGCTAGCTTTCAGAACTACAAAGTGCCCTGAAGAATAGACAGCCTTCCTAATACTACAGACAAGAAACTGAAGACCAAGGAGGCCTGGCCACCTGTTGGAGGCTATACTGCAATTCAACAGCAGAGCCAGCAATTGAGCCCATGTCTTCTGATCACAAACGAGAACTTTCTAGTGTTCTGCACGAAGGATTAGCTACACACTATAAACCCGAGATTGTTTTAACCTAAAACAATCATACCTAGAACAATAAAAATCTTTAAAAGTATATAAATTCTGTCAGAAAGATGGTAGAGGAAGGGAGTTTGAACAATGGATGGAAGATTGAATTCAATGACCTCTACAGTCCCTCTGTCTCTAGGATTATTTGATTCTGGACTACCCAGGAGCTAAGCACCTCAGAGAACCAGGGCATCTGCAGAGGCAGGGACTGTGCCACCGAGCCGCGTCCTGTAGGGGTCCCCGCAGTTGGGTTGGACTCTGCCCTGAGGATAAAGGCATTGCTCTATATGCAATCTACTTGCAACCAAATACTCTAGGCACAGAAAGAGTGTAAGGAAATGCAGCTCTGTCATTTCCAAAGACAGACTACACTGCTTATCTTTCTAAATTGCCTTGCCTAAATGAGCATTCTATAACTGAGCCTCCAAATCCAGCACTTACAGTGTGTTCATGTGCTATGCTCCTATCCAAATTAATTATGCAGCATCTTCATGAGGAGAAATCAGATTTGGATGCAAGTTAGGAGAGGAAAGAGAGAGGAGCACTTTCCAAAGGAAGGCTACTGTGTGTGATCCCCCAAAGCACTGGAGTCCTTCCATCTGAGACAGGTTTCAGATGGCAGCCCCCGCTGAGCTAGCCATAGGAAGCAGGGAGTGAACACATTTGAGAAATGAAGAATATGCCAACTATCAAGATTCTGAAGGCCAAAATATTATTAACCTCCTCCTTTCTAAGCAATTCCATTCCAAAGTGGGATTCAACACAAGTCCGTTCATTTGTTTTCCTGAATGGCTACTAACTACAAACATGTATGATTTTAGACTTTTTCTTTTTCTTTCTTTCTTTTTCTTTTCTTTTTTTTTTTTCTTTTCTTTTTGCTAGTCCAAGAGAAAGGTTTATTTATTTATTTATTTGCATCTCTAAAAATGTTGTACTAAGGCTGGAGCTCTGAGCATTAGAAATGAGCTTCCCCAACAGGATTGTCACATGGAACAAATGAGATTATTTTTTAAACTGTGTGATTCCATGCATAGGACCCAGGTGTTGCCTCGATTTCAGAGGAGCACACGGATGCTCTCCAACTCGGTGCCAAATGACCAAACAGCGACTGACACTCTTACAACCCGGCGGGCAAGTGAAAGAGAGTGATTCTGCAGAGATTCCCCGCGCAGATCCTGGAGGCTCTACTTTCAGGGGTCTGGGCAGGTTCTCTCCTCTCCTCTCTTCACCCGGAGTGTCTAGACAACGAGGAGGGTGTGCAGTGTCACCACGAGGGGGGAGGGTCGGGAGAGTAGATGTCCGACCTGCGTTCAGCGGAGTTCCACCCGTGCCTCCAGGATGTATTTGAGGTCTAATCCCCAGGTTTGGGGGAAGGTTCCTCGGGCCTCCTCAGCTCCCCCTTAGCCTGCCAGCGACCTCATCAGTTTCTCCTGCCACCAACGCCAGCTCCACACCAGAAAGAACCCTCTCCCCCTCTCCCCCTCTCCCCCTCTCCCCTCTCCCCTTTCCCCAGGCGTGCACCACTTTTCTCCCAACGCTGTTTCCAAAAGGGAAGCACAACTTGGGGGAAGGAGCTACTGGGACCCAGTGGGGAGCCGCTTCTGGGAAACGGACACGCGTTCCCAGTGAAGCAGTTGTGCAAGCGGGGAGGGAAGGGGGGGGGGGGGTGGAGGGCACGAGCGGGAGAGGAGAGGGGACCCCGGAGGCAAGAGAAGGAGAGCAGCGGGAAAGGCGGGGAGGATGGGGGGCTAAGGCACGGACTTGGGGGAAAGGGGAAAGAACAGGATGGGGAGGAAAGAAGAGAGTTACGGGAAAAGAATGAAGTGCGAGAGCGGGAGAAGAAAGGAGAAACGGGGAAGGGGAAAGATAGAGAGAGGAGGCGGCAGGGAAGGAGGGAAGGATGTGCCGGGGAGCGGAGCCCAGGGAGCGGAGCCGGGGTCCGGGGCGCAGAGGGGGGTGGACCCCGGGCACCGCGCGCCCCCGGGGAGCCCGGCGCGCCGGGCGCTCACCTTTGAGGACCAGGCTGTCCAGGTCCCGGTCGATGCCCAGGAAGTAGCACTTCCTCCAGAGGCCGGCGTAGGTGGCGAAGAGCGGCCGGCCGCACGCGGCGTCCAGCCCGCCCAGCCCCAGCAGCGCGCGCCAGGGCTCGGGGTCCGCGCGGCCCGGGCGGCGGGGCGGCCGGCGGCCCGGCGGGGGCGCGTCCCGGAGCGGCAGGTGCGACAGCGGCATCAGGCGGCTCCTCTGGTCCGGGGGGTCGGCGCCCGCGCGGCCGCGCTCGCAGCTCTCCTTGTGGCGCCGGGGGTCCGTCTCGTACCAGTGGTCGGTGAAGATGGCCGTGACGAGCAGCCCCAGGGAGCAGAGGCTGAGGCCGAGGCTGAGCGCCGTGACGAGCGCCCGCGGCTCCATGGCTCCCCGCCCCGCCGCCCGCGGCCCCGCGGCCCCGCCGCCGCCGCCAGACACAATGCACTTGGCCTCGGCTCCGCTCCCGCCGCGCTCCCCGCCGCGGCCTCCCCGCCCACCCGGCCCCGCGCCTCCCGCTTCCCCTTCTTATCCGTCCTCCCGCCTCCCTCCGGGCCCCTGCCCGGCCCAGGATCCTCGCCCCCTCCTCCTCCTCCCCCGGCCGCGCGATCGCACTTTCTCCTCCTCCTCCTCCTCCTCCTCCTCCTCCTCCTCCTCTTCCTCCTCCTCCTCCTCCTCCTCCTCCTCCTCCTCCTCTTCCTCCTCCACCTCCTCCTCCTCCTCCTCCTGCAGCCCCGCTTCTCACTCCCCGCGCCCCTCTCCCCTCCTCCCGATCGCACTGTCCGCCCTCCTCTCCAGCGACCCCCCTTCCCTTCCGAATCCCTCCCCGCCGCCCTCCCTTGGCTCTCTCCTATCCTATTCTCTCCTCTCCCCCCTGTGCCTACTTTCCCCTACTTTTCTCCAACTCTTTCCCTCCCTTCTCCTCCTCCCGTGTGTCCCTCTTGCTGCCGGCTCCTCCGCGCCCCTTTTTGTCCCTGAGCACACTGCCCTCCACCAGCGTGGAAAGACATCACCACCCTCAGACTCAGCCGTGTCCCTTGTCCCTCTGGATGGATTCTGATCCGTGCCTCGTTTTTATCCCCAGAAGCAAAGCCCACCCAGCCCGGGCTGCTAGGTTGGTATTGAACTCTTTGGGGTCTTGATCTGAAGCTTTGAGACCCTTTCTCCCGCCCTTGGCAGCTCTGTCGCCTTCCTCCTTCCCTCTCACTTGGCTCATTGCAAGCTCCCAGTTCTCTCTGCTCCAGCCCCTCTTCCGGCAGGAAAGACACATGAGTGTCCCTGTAGCGGCAGACCCACGGCCAGGGTGTTTCTCCCACTTCTCTGCAGCCTGCTCAGAGAAGGACTTCTTTTTCGTTCACCACCTCCATCTCCTGCCAGAGTGGCACCCTCCTGGAATGTCTAGGAGGGCAGCGGATGGATCAATAAGCCGGTGCTATGGCACCTGCTCTGTGAGGTGATTATTGCCTCTGAATCAAGAAAGCCCTGGGAATAAATCAAAGCAATGCTTTTTTCCCCTCCCATGCAGGAGGGTCAACCGCGAAGCAATGCTACATACCAAGGTCCCCCATGTCAGCTCCCTTCTGGTCTTCAGGGCACGCAGTAGTCACAGATGCTAATGCTGAGACTGGCAGGCAGGTAGACGCACAGTTTCTAAAATGAGGACATGTTAGGGCCCAGGGCACTGAAAGAGTTAATGGCTTATGTTGTGCATTCTCAGGACAGAGGGGCAATAGCCTTAGTCCTTGTGTCCCTGAGTCTCCTGGAGGCCACGGCAGAGACTGGGCAGCCATGCCCATGTACCCAGGGATGCCAATTCTTGTGTTCTTTTCTTTTTCTTAATATATATTTTATTGATTTTTATACAGAGAGGAAGAGAGATAGAGAGTTAGAAACATCGATGAGAGGATTATCGATCAGCTGCCTTTTGCACACCTCCTACTGGGGATGTGCCCACAACCAAGGTACATGCCCTTGACCGGAATCGAACCTGGGACCTTTCAGTCCACAGGCGGATGCTCTATCCACTGAGCCAAACCGCTTTCCGCCAATTCTTGTGTTCTTATGCTGTGAAATATTAACGATCGAAAGATTACGAGGCAGTCATTAGATGCTAAATGCCACTACTCCACCATTTAATGGGGCTTATTAATTAGTGCCCCCACATCAATTGGTATTACTGTGATTTATATAGTCCCTCTAGGATGACATCTGCAGAGGTGGTATAAGAGTCTTGCTCAGATTTTTTTTTCCATTGCTGTTTGTACTCAGCACCCTTAGAGGGTATATTTCTGGTGAAGACCTGTACGCCTTCTGAGCTGTACGGTTAACAGATAGATCACTTAAGACAATCTTTCCGTCATATTGGACCCCCGTGCCCATTTCTGCTGATCCGTCACTGTGAGTTATTGCTTGGATTTTCTCACCTCTCCAGCCAGAGCTATGGTAAGCTCCAGTCTAATTAAGGAAGACAAAGAATTATAATTTTAGTGTTGCTCTCACCTATAAGCTCTCCCTTAAAAGGAAATGCTAAGCTCATCAAAGGCGTCTTATCTGGACTTACGCAAAAATGATGAGACTTAAAACTTCCTTTTACTTATTCTCTATTGATATGTGTAAAATCCTAGATCTTTGCGGATACACAGAGAGAATACCTTTAACAGTTGACATCTGAAATTCACTCAAGTTGTCATGTGTCCTTTTTTTATTATTATTATTAAATGCCTTTTGAGATAAAGTCATTACAAACCTTTAGCAAGCCTTCCCTTTTCAAACGCTGATGTTCTACAGGAGAGAAATAGTCTGCCACATTTCAGAGTCACCGGATTCTCTTTACACACAACGACCCTGTCCTGAACTGGAGTAGACTAAAGGAAATCTCTTTTTCAGGCACCTCTGATGAACTTAAAAGAGCATAATGTTCGGCCGCATTTTCCTAGCCAGAGTCTTTGGATCATACTCTCCTTAGAAAACAGCATTATCCTCGAAGTTCAATGACGTCTGTCTATGTGTAAGACCAGTCTCAGCATATAATCCAAAAGTTACTCTATGATGAATTACCCTTGACAGTATTTCATTAAAAAATGTCACACATTACAAATATGGGCCAGCAGCATGTAATGAGCGCGCTGCCTCTGCTGGTGCAGCATTAATGCCATCAGCTGGGATGTGACATATGATGCGTACACAGGCTTTGCTACGGCAACTGCACACTGCTCCATCCGTGTCCTTAAAATTTCTCTTTTGGGTATTTCCAACAAGGAAATGCCACCCACGAACCCCCACTGTGTTAGGGAAGTGGGGGATACACAGATAAACAGTTTCCATCTTCAGAATGCTCCCAGTCTAGTAGCAACCCATAGACACACAGACTGTTCGATGTGCTCTAGTAGAAAAAAGAACCAAGAGTTGTGGGACTATGGACAATGAAAAAAATTAACTACACACAGTATGTGTGTATGTTGGGGGGAGTGGGGCATCAAGCAGCTGCTTAGAGAGAGTAACCTTTGAGTTAGTTCTCAAAGGAGGAATTAAACTTTATCAGGAGGATTAAGTCAGGCATATTATCATTATGTCAGAATATTACCGTATTCTCCGGCGTATAAGACAACCCCCTAATTTTACAGTTAAAACATATTATAGGTTTAGGCCTATATTCACTGTATAAGACTACCCCCCACTTCAAAGAAAAGACTTACTTTGCCGTCAAGATCTGCAGGTAATTTTTGTGCAATTTTGGTCTTTTGCCCCCGATTTTCGGTTGACTTTTTTTCATTTCAAAAGTTGTCTTATACGCCGGAAAATATGGTAACTCTTTAAAAAAAAATTTATATATATATATATATATATATATATATATATATATATATATATATTTGATTGATTTTTTACAGAGAGGAAGGGAGAGGGAAAGAGAATTAGAAACATCAATCAGCTGCCTCTTGCACACCTCCAACTGGGGATGTGCCCACAACCAAGGTATATGCCCTTGACCGGAATTGAACCTGGGACCTTTCAGTCTGCAGGCCTACGCTCTATCCACTAAGCAAAGCAGTCAGGGCCAGAATATTAACTCTTTGATTTACATGTCTACCTCACAAATTTGGAGGCTTCAGTATTTTGGGCTACTGTGAAATGTACCTTGTTGTGGGCACACACCCGAGAGGTGTGCAGGAGGCAGCTGGTCGATGTTTCTAACTCTCCATCCCTCTCCCTTCCTCTCTGTAAAAAATCAGTAAAATATATATTTTTAAAATAAAAATTTTTTAAAAAATCCTTATTTTCCGCCTATATTTAAAATATTTTAAAGTTGTCATGTTCTAATGCGTGGCTACAAGCTAAGTACTTATAGATGAGTAGACACAGAAGTCCAGGCCAGAATACAGCCAATGTCTGAAGGCTTTTAGCCTGGCAGGGAAGCAGCATGCTGTGAGATCAAATAGCCAGCCAGAACACTGTAGCATGTCTCAGCTGCGGCTGTGCTGTGACCTCAATGTTTTCAAACTTAGCTTGTCCTTCAGTTGTCTTAAATATCTCTTCGCCATCTCCAGATCTGATATCCCCCATGCATCCCTCTGCGAACAACAATGTCCTCAAATGACAGGATGGAGCCAGAGAATTTCCATCTAAGATCTCACTGTATGATTGGACTCAACATGTCCAAAAGTAAACTCTTATTTCCCTGTGATTCAGCTACCTTTCCCAGTGTATTAACAAATCATTCAAGTCACTCAGACTCACTATTTTAGAAATATCTATCACATTCACAGTCGTGGGGATTTTTTCTTTCATGTGTCTTTTATAGCCAAATTTTCCTCTACGTATCTACTACTTGCCGTCACTATGCCCCTCTCACCTCACATCTGCATTCTTATTACAGCTTCCTCCTTGGTCCCCACCCTTCCAGGAGCAACCCTGCCTGCAGTGATCCTGTGTACTGATGCCAAATGCATCTTCTTCAAATGTTACTTTGGTTATGTAATCCCTCATCTTCCGCTCTCCTTTCTAGGTTAGAGAGAATTATCTACTATCTTGCTCCAAAGTCCTTCTCTATTCCCATAGCATTTTAACATCCCAACTAATATGTTGGCTATGTTTAAATATTTAGAAAACAAAACACTCTGCCTGCTCTAAACACACTTACCATAATATATAGGTGCTTGATGACATTCATTGTATTTCTCTTTACAGTCAGGAAGTTTTTAAATAATATTTCTCTATTAAAAATGTCGAGAGAGAACGAGAGGGAGAGAGAGAAAGAGAGAGAGAGTCTGATCATCAGAGAGCTATGGCCATGATTTATTGACATTCCTATGCTAAGTTGACCATGAATATTCTAAAAGGCTTTCGCCCTTTGCCCCAGTACCAAGGCCAAAAGCAACATCACTCTT